CTCAGTATCAGATAAGGATAAATATAATTAGTATTTTCTCATTAAAGGTTCTATATTATGCAAAATTGACTCTTGTGAGCTTTTAGCCAACTTATAATGCTTTTACCTCCTCAAAAACATCCCGAGAGTTGTGTTTTGTTTCATTCGCGAATGTTTTAGTAATCATGCATTATTAGGCTGTTCCACCTTGTGATGTCATGCAGTGGTAGTTTTCAAATTAACAGCTGCCTTTTAAATTTAGAGTTATGCAATTCCAGGGCTGAAGTCATCCAAATGATTATAATGAAGATGTATGGAGATTAAAAACACAGTGGAATACTTCCTGTATAACCACATGACATCACAAGAAGAAGTCAGCCTAAATATGCAGGATTCGTGCGTTAAACATGTGTATAAGTATATTTTTAATGAAGAAACAGTATAACATAGATCAGAAAATAGTATGAATAAATTAAAAATGAAAATTTTGGTTGATATAAAATGAGCTCCCACTGAACATCAAACTGGCTGACTCACTTCTGTTTTTCATTCTCCTCTTAAAACTCAAATTTACAACTTGAATTTGTGTACAGCAATTTGGTGGACTGTGTGGTTTCAAAGTGCTCTATAAATAAAGTTGGATTGGAGTAATTGGAATATGAGGAGGAAATATTTTTTTCTAAATCTATATTTTATGCCCACCCCTAAAACAAATAAGATATGTAGAGATTTGTGAAAGATAAGGGGTTAGGAAGCAGCATAAGTATCTCATGTAATCTATTTTTATGACACTGTTGCTAGATTATATTGTTGCTATGCTATGCTTTTGTCACTTTAACAACTTGGTTTGTTTAATGGGGTTCTCAGCCAAATAGCTGATTATTGGTTCATTGCAGGGTGAGCACCTGAGGCCTCCTAAAGTTCAAATGACATGAGTGGAGAAGATTGTGTATAGGGAAATATTAGCTCAAATAGAAGATGCTGCTATAACTGGTTTACAAAGAGGAATACTGCAGTCATTGTTAAATAATATCTCAGTATTTAGATTTAGGATATAAGGATGAACCCTTTTTATAAAAATGTAATGAGTGAAAATCTCATTCAAAGAAATGATTCAATTCAGTTTTATGTATGTGCATTTTATAAGATATTAAAAAGAAAACATAATAAAATGAATTCAATTTAGAAAGGGGTTCCAACAGCCAAACAGCTGATCCCGGTTCATTGCAGGGTGAGCACCTGAGGCCTCCTAAAGTTCAAAATGTGCTATTGCATCTAAATGTACCAGAGTAAACAGCCGGAGAAGCAGAGCTGGCTCATATCATGTGGCTGCACTGTTGCTGCTGTGATATTGCTGACCAGGGGAAAGTGGTCATGGTAATTAGGTGTGTGAAAACAGTGGCGTTCTGCATGCTACGGCTTATGGCACTCACATTGAAAATCAATAAGACGGCTTCAAAAGTCTCACACTGAGCTCTCTGGAGGAGTATTCATGATGCTTTAACACATAGGACTGGATACAGCAGGCCTATTTACGAAAACATGCCGAGAGGGAGCGTAAAAATCACAGGGCGTAGAGGTCACAACAAAGATTTATCAGTTATCACACTTGACAAAACAATTACAGCAGAACAATAAAGCACACTACATTAAGCACAAGTTAGTTATAAACACATCTATCTTGTTTTCTTGCTGACTGGAACACAATGATTTAAGAAACTTCAAGTCTGTCTATAAAACATTATATGGAAATTCGGATCAGCAAGAATGAAAAGCATCAAATAAAGAAATTTGGTACAGTGCTGTATTTCCCACTTGGACATTTCAAACTTGATCTTGATATGTAGAATGTATAAAAATACTTTATGTTTGAATACCGATTTTGATTTCACTATAGTAAAAAATATTTCTGTCACAATAACAAATTTTGAACTATGATACATTGGTGACGATAAATGATAATCTAATAAAACTGATTTATGCCACTCACAGAATAAACCTAAAGCAATGATTTCCCTCAAAAGAACTATTCTATTTGTACAGTATTGTTAATGAACTGTTAATAAGTGAAACAATTAGTGAGTCATAATCAAGTTTTGTATTCAACCTCAAAGCTCAATCACAGAACAGAAAAATGACACATAAAAGCAATAGTACAATGAAAAAGTACCGACAATAAATATTAACTCCCATAAATAATTGTTTCATCTATCACTTAATGAACAATAAGTCGATATATTAATTATTGCTACAGGCCTAGTATATTAAAAAATACATAAATTTAGGCATGGATAAAGACCATAGTAAAACCACATTCAGGAAAATGTTGTGTTCTGTTTGTTTCTTTATACAGTATTGATACTTATTCAAAGGAGTATCTAGTTTTGATACTAGTTTTTAGCATGTATTAGTAACTGAGTATCTGAATATTACAGCTCTCCCTATCATTATGCAAACTCACAATAAAAGTCTCTAATTTCATTTCTCAAAGGGTCAGTCTGGGATAACTTCAGTCCCGGGTCAAAGTTCACAGTACCGACACATCTGCTGCTCATAGAGGGTCTTATCTCTGAACCTCCCTGGAGTTTTCCTTACAGCCTTGAAGCCACCCACTCATCTCGCGTCCCTCTCCTCGCAGTTACTGCAGTGACACTGGACCGGGGCAGAAACTGATGACAGAAGAGGGCCAGTCTCTTTCTGCAGTTCAAAGAAGCACAAGGCAGCCGAGCACAGACAAAGAAGGTGCCAGTTGGGGTGACCTTACGGATAGGTTTTGTGTCAGCAGTAGTGGCCCAAATTAAGAGTGGATAGAAAAAAATGTCTCCTTGTGCCACTAGGAGTCCTACAGCTCGGGTTGTATTCAGTGCTGAAGATTGCAGCTCTCACCCTGCAGTAGCGGAGCACAATAGCACTGTCTACTTGTTGATTCACTTATCTGAGTTCCATAAGTGCATTTGTGTGTGTGTGTGTTTGTGCGTGTGGATGTGAACTCAGAAAGGAGGTGTATCCCAGGGTAAAAGTGGCCTGTATGGGAGCAGATAGGGCAGGCATACTGTTAAATAACAGAGCTAATCCCACAGTACAGGTGGGTCTCTAATTCACCGGCTTCAGGAGACATTTCCGAGACTTGTATATTATATTACTTTTAATATAATATTCTGAAAATTAAAGGTGCACAATGTCTACCAACCTGTCGCTTGTCTCTATTAAGATGGTACTGTCTTGATTATATGTTTGTTTGCCTGATCAGCTTGTCCCTCTACAAACTGTTTGAATCCAGAAGGGTCTAGAATCAACCATAGAGCATGAAAAACCTCTGTCCTAACTTGAGACAGTCCAACCACAGCCGCTAATTTGTAGCACGGGGCTCTCAAATGCTGGAGATACCTCCTCTTGAAAATTCTTGTAACCTTCAGGACAAAGAGATAAATAATCTGCACTGTTTCTCAGTCCTTTATGTTGCTTTTTCTGCTTTTTTATGTGCAAGCAACCATGTTTGTTTTTGATGTGAATGGAGTCTCTCTGGTTAATTGGTTAATCCTCTTGTGAACCATGTCCTCTGAAATCAGGGAGCATACAGCTTGTATCACAAACTTTACTTGTGTTTGTAAAGTTTTTTCTAAACGTGTGGCTTTGTCTGGTAATGTGTTTGGAACAATAAAAATGTCTTTGATTGTTATGAGTCAGGTCAGGTTAATGCATACTGTGCAACATTCTGAAATTGCCCTATTATGGAAAAAATAGGTTCTTATTCTAGGTAAATCAATCACATGGAGACAAGCAGGCAACCTTAATAATAATAATAGTAATAATATTAATAATGCATCAGTTTTATATAGTGCTTTTGTGGACGCTTTACACAGCATTATTGATTCACGCCGTACCCAGAGGTTAAAAGCTGCTACTGTAGCCACAGCTGCCCTGGGGCAGATGGACGGAAGCAATGCCATCAATCTGCGCCATCGCCCCCTCCGAATCACATCTCCATGGAGACAAGCAGGCAGGCTCTTCACCAGAAAAGTTACATAGTGCACCTTCAAAGTCAGTACAGAGTCCATCTGTTCAATACACAGATGTGGAAAAGATGAGCTTTGGGGCATATGTAATAGTAAAAGGTTTATCGCAGCAGTGGTAGTGGGTATAACAAGGGAGACAGAGTCTTCATGTTAAAGGTAGCGGGCCAAGTCTGTGTAGCTCTTATACTCAATCAGGCCCTAATACAAGTATCACACAGTGTTTACAGGTGCTTGATTAAACCAGAGGAGCCCCGAGAGTCACTCAGGGAAAGAGTGGGGACCAAACCACAGCTGTTATACAGAGCACCATTTATACTGTTTTATTTGGGGGCACAAGGCAAACGTGTCCTCAGATGCAGAATTGCTGTTTTACTAAATTGTAATAATTCTTGATAATTGTGAAGTTTGTATGATCAAAATGTAGTTGTGGCTTCTCTTTAATGATTGCATCTCTATTGAATGTAGTTCATTACAATTAGACAGCATTTGTTGAAAGATAATGAGACATCGATAACAACTGACAATTTGAGTCACGCTGTGGTGAGAGTACTCATCTGCAACATTATTCTTAAAATCCAGCATCGGATTTCTCAATTTTTGTCTAAATTTTAACTTAATTTGATGAATCAGTTGATGAACAAGCTTTTATGAGTTGGTAGTGAAATGTGTATTTCTGCACTGTAGAAAGATGCAATGATAGATCCGAATAACAAATCTAAATGTGAAGTTTGTCAAGTCTCCCACTTAACTCCAAGCACTAAATATAAAATCATTGGCTTTAACTTCATTGTCATCTTACAACCTGTGCGGATCACTGGAGCATTTGCTCACATTATTCCCATCCATTAGAAGCCACCTTAGTGTATAATTGCCCATTATGAGTGGGTCAAACGCCTTCATCGATTGGCTGCTCTCCAAAGGCAGGGGCCTTCATATAGGTACATGTATCTGCTGACCGTTATCCCCTCACTCATATCTCCTCTTGTCTTTGTGCTGTCTGTGCAGTTTGCTCCCAGTTCTCACGTGGAGTCTACGCCATCTTCGGATTTTACGATAAGAAGTCCATGAACACACTGACGTCGTTCTGTGGAGCTCTGCACACCTCCTTCGTCACACCCAGTTACCCCACAGACAACGAGGTGCAGTTTGTCATCCAGATGAGACCTGCTCTGCGCGGGGCCGTGCTCAGCCTGCTGTCCCACTACAAGTGGCAGAAGTTTGTCTACCTCTATGACACGGACAGAGGTGGGTGCACCAAGAGACTCTGTAGTCTGTAGGAACAGTGATGGTAGTAGGAAACTTTTATTGAGCTATTTTGTTTTATTGGCTGCTTGGCAGTCTGTGGCAAAGTGCAATGCAGTTTTCAAAGGCAAAATCTCCTGACTCCTGTATTCATGAAAAAGTAAACAGTTGTTTCTAAATGGCATCATTCAAGACCCAATAAAATGATCAACTTGAGTTAATATGTTTCTCCAAGTCAAAGATTTTGTCTGTGTAAAGAGATGTGCTGTGTACATGGTAAAATGATAATCCAGTGGCTCATGACACTGGTAATAACATGTAAAGAAAAAGCATGTTTTCTGATCACTAGCACTTCGTCACCTCTCAGTGCTGTGTGTCTGCTCGTCTCGTGGTAATGGCGGTGTTGATGCGCTCATCTGTCATCTGTAATGAGCTGTGCCACAACTGTTTCCTACACAAATACCAGACTCCATCTCCACTACTAGACTGCATATTACAGGCCACGGCATCAAAGAAATCACGCTCCCACATTACTGCGCCAATTTGACTATGCAGCAGGTTTAATGCAGCTCACCACATGTAATACAACCTGTCACCATTCTCAAGTGCTCATTTTATGGGATTTGTAACGTCAAAAAGGAAAATTAGCTCATTATCTTTCAATGGAATAATGATGGCCTCCTCCTCCTCCCACCCAAACTTCAATTTATTCAAACAGCATGTGGACAGGAGATGAGGTAGGCTATTGTGTGGCAGACAAAATCATATGGTTTATTTGCATGTATTTTTTTATTTTCTATGATATTAGCAAAGACAACAAGTGTAAAAAAAAAAAGTTAAGTAAAAGTCTATTTCCCAACAGGGACAATAAAGTATAATAAGTGTACCTTAACCTTAAATGTCTGCTCCTTAACCAACAATTAGACTAGAATAAAAGCATATATTTTCATTATGGATGTTTTTACTGCACCTACAGCTTGAAGAACAAAGCATCCTTCCTGTGAGTGAGCTTGCATCTCCACAAACCTGCTTGTTGTTATGGAAATGGTATTGCTTTAAATAAAATGTTCCAACATATAGCATAAAACAGATCTCTCTATGGAGAATGTTTTGAACTTGCCATTTCCAGGTACACAAGTTACATGCTGCCACCAGAATCATTATCCTTATCCCAATCGATGATAATAATGATAATAGATCCGAGTTGGGCGCATATTATCAATCAAAACAGGCAACAAGCAATAGATGAATGTACTGTACCGTGTTGTGTATTGGCTACAATTCCCAACCAGAGTGACAGTGCCACACAGGGGTGTCTTGAGCGCTTCTATTTGCGGTGTTTATTTGCTCATTATAGAAAGGTCCTGACCCACTACACAGGCTTTAGGCTACATGTCTCCCCCCCTCCCCCAGAGCTCCTCTTTTCGCAGGCACAGTGTGGAGAGTGCTTTTAGCCCTGTGTCTTGGGGACTTGAGGAGCCTGCAGGGTCCAGAGCCCAGGGCCCTAATCCTCGCTACAGCCTCAAGATAATGTGTGGTTAATTAGGGTCACTCTGGCTGGAACACTCATTGCATCTTCCCCTGTGGATGCTAGCAACCCACTCGTCCTTCAGCACAAGCTAGCACAGCACTAGCCCGGTGTCTTTCTGTTTCCTCTTGTGTCTGGCAAGTGTCTGGAGCAGAGGTGGATGTAACAGCGGGGGCGATGCTAAAGTGCTAGAAATATCCAAACAGAATAGGCGTTTGTGAAGTAAACATCTACTGCTCTGGGAGACAATAAGAAAGGATTTATTCTCACATCCGTATCTCTTGTCTGGTAAAATTTAAAGGTCCTGCATTACACAAAATGGATTTTTGTGATCTTTAAGCCATGATAGAATGTTACTATCCTCTCAAAAACATACCCAGACTTATGTAATGATTCATTCACAGTTGTTTGAGTAATCCTTTATTATTCATCAGTCTACATCTCCAAAGCTCAAAATGCTCTCTTCCACCTTGTGATGTCATGCCGTGATAGTTTTCAAGTTAACAGTTACGTTTAACATTTAGTACAGTAGAGACTGTCATTTTTAGAGCTGAAATCATCCAAATGATTCTAGTGAAGGTGTCTGGAATTTAAAAACACAGTGGAGCACTTCCTGTATTATCACAAGACATCACAAGGTGGAACAGAGTGTTATCTGTTTGAGAGAGAAACTCATCCTAAATATGCAGGGTTTGTGTGTTAAACATGTGTGAATGAAACAAACATTATAACAGGAAACAACATTGTAACATAGTTCAAAAACTAGAATAATATAGGCCCTTTAAGCAAACCGCAGAAGAGTATCAAGTGTGGCCATGGCTGTCCTCTACATGTCCTTTGTTTATCCATGCTTGGGACTGAAGCCATTGTTCATTCTTTTATGCCAAATGTTTTAAATTGTTGATATTACAGCAGAGACTTGTGAAAAAAGTGGTGTTAAATTAAAGTAAAAAAGTGGAAGTAGTATACTCTTTAGTGACATGGGGTTACATCAGGAAGGCAGAGAATGTGAGCACGTTTGCCAAATCCCAAACGCAGAGAACGGAAAGTTACCCATGTTAAAATTGTTGGAAAAAAGATTTGCTACTTTATTTCCTACAAATAAATTTTTTCTCCAAACATTGCAACTGCATTTTTCATCCATAAGTAATCTATGTCCTTAAGTAAACTGTGCCACTTTTTTTTTTTTTTTTTTTTATGACAAACACTGCCACAAGGTTAATAAAATGTATCGTGCATCTTTAAGGTGTAAAACCTGGCAGACACATTTATTGTCTGTGGTCACTGGTCATTTACATTTTGAAATAAAAAAGCACATACTTTGTAGAGGTCATAAGAAGGGTTGAGAAAGAGGAAACTTTACTTCAATGAAGCAATTAAGACACCAGCCGGTGCGTAGTGATTTACAGCCTGTTACCTGTGTACGACAATTCCCCATGTTAGCTCTATCCCAGAGCAGGGGCCCATGCCAAGTCCCCTTTAGCTCGGTGCTTACTGCCAGTGCTGTAAGACGATCCCTTATTAGAGGCAGGACATTGGTCCCAGGAGGGGATTAAAGGCGTTTATTGATGCACTCCATCCAGCACTTTGGGCGGCGGTGACACTTGGCTCATCAGGTGGACAGATGTGTCAGAGGAGCGCACCTCTGCTTATCAGGTAGAGCCATTCCCCTGGCGATACGGCAGCCTACTCCTCACAACTGACAGTCACTTTAATAAGGATGTGTGTCCTTTAGTCTGAAAGAGTCAAAAGGAAGTTTGGTAAACAGCTGCTTTGTGTTCGGCTAAATTGCCTCTTAGTTTTGTCTAAAAAGAAGGTCTCAGGAAGTTACTGAGTTTCTGGTGAATTTGAAGAGCTCATAAGCCAGAATGACATAGATGTAGTGGTACTGTTTCAATTGTCCAGGAATCACAGGATATTTCTGAGGATTTTCTGAACTGAAAGGAACATTATTTTCTTTGAATTAAAAATTTAACCTCTGGAGGTAGTCTATGTTATGGAAACTGACCCCTTGAACAATATAACAAATATTAATATTAATATTTGTTATATTGTTCAAGGGGTCAGTTTTTCCATGATTGCAATGTATGTCAACATCTTAAAAGTTACAGACCCCGATGTGATAACGTATGACACCTGGTATGGTATGTATGTAATGTAAGTAATGCTGAGTATAATTTCCTATGGTGACCTTGAAAAACAAGCTTAAAGGAATTCTATGTTTTTCATTTTTGGATGCGCAATGGTGAAGATCTACTTCAGTTTCTATAAAACTGTCATGACTATGATAGATTGTTTTTCTATTGACTTTATGATTTGATACAAATAAATGACTATAAAGCCTTAACCTTAACAGTCCATAACATCGTGCGTGACATGAGCAAATTTTAAGCTTTTAGAGAAACGTGTTACTGCATCACAAAGACAAATGACCTCTCCGACACAAAGCACCTGTCGCACCCTATTATTTTCTTGAGTAGCATTTTGCATTTAATTCCAGACTGATAAAAGCATTGATCATTTGCTATAGCAGAGGCAACTTTGCAATTATTCTCCCAACCTCTCCTATTACTGGGGGAAAACATTGCAGCACTAGAGAAAAAGGCATTCACTCAGCAACATCCAAAGGTTTTATTCGGTCAATAGACGAGATAAATTACAAGTACAATACTCATTTGTGGTGTTATTAGACCAGGGCAGAAAAATGCTTTTAGCCCCGACACGGTGCTTTCAGATGGAGAGTGATGGTCCATATGCTTAGGGCTCAGATGTATTGGAGGGAAATGGAGAGAAATTGGTAGCCTAAATGCCAGTATGAGACAGCTGTTTGAGAGCCGACGTTATGATGAAGGAGATGCACAGAAAGCAAATGGAGGCTCCTTAGGTCCAGTTGTACCACTCTAATGAGTAGCTATGGCTTTTATCTAAGGTAATATATCGTGGGAGTACCTTATGTGAGCCAGTGCAGTGGATGAGGGACATGAAAGCCACTATCACAGATATATTCATTTTCTTTTGGAGAGAGGCTAAACACACAACCTCCGCAATGCAAACTTATCCAGACTGTATACTGTACTGCTGTCATGTTATGTAATGTCATTATGTAAAAAATAGCACTCCTCCAGACAGTACTAAAATTACTTAAAATGTTCTTATATTTATTTATTAGAGACTGGCCGATATGAGTTTTTTCATGCCCAATGCCAATACAATTGTTTAGAATCCAGAGGAGCCGATGATCTCTGCCAATATTTTGAGGTTGATATGTAGGGGTGATTTTGGTCATTTTGCCCAGATTAGCTAATTAGAATTGAGTACAAACTCATCCACAACCATTACCACTTTAGACTAAAGTGCTCAAATAAAGTTTTATGCATTTATTTTTCATGAACATTTGGGCAGCTGGTTGGGACAACCAAAATATCAGCCTGTGCTGGAAATTTAAAGCTGATAGCTGATACACAATTTATATTCA